GCCTTCCATGTAGCTGGAACTACAGGTGTGCGCTACCACACCCGGCTAATTTTTTGATTTATTGTAGAGATGAGGTTTCACCAAGTTGCCTAGGCGGGTCTTGAACGCGCGGGCTCAGGCAATCCACTCACCTCAGCCTCCCAAGGCATGGGATTACAGGCTGAGCCACCAAGCCTGGCTCTTCAAGCTTTTCTAAACTAGAGGAAAGTGTAGGAGAAACAGAAGCTTGCACCAATAGCTGTTCATTTTTTTTTTTTTGAGTCGGAATCTCACTGTTACCCAGGCTACAGTGCAGTGGCATATTCACGGCCACCATAGCTTTAGCCTGCAGGGCTCAGGTGATCCTTCCACTTTAGCCTTCCAAGCAGCTGGAACTATAGGTGTGCACCACCACACTCAGCTCATTTTTTTTTTCTGAGTTGGAGTCTTACTCTGTCACCCAGGTTGGAAGGCAGTGGCACGCTCCCTGCCACCACAGCCTCGACCTGCTGGGTTCTGGCGATCCTTCCACCTCAGCCTTCCAAGTAACTGGAACTACAGGCGCGCGCTACCACGTCTGGCTAATTTTTTGATTTGTTGTAGAGATGAGGTCTCACCAAGTTGCCCAGGTGGGTCTCGAACCCGCGGGCTCAGGCAATCCACTCGCCTCGGCCTCCCAAAGTGCGAGATTACAGGCTGAGTCACCGAGCCCAGTTCATTTTTTGATTTATTGTAGAGATGAGGACTTGTCAAGTTGTCTAGGCTGGTCTCAAACCCCTGGACTCAGGCAATCCTCTTGACTCCACCTCCCAAAGCACTGGGATTACAGACATTAGGCACCATGCCCCACAGTTGTTCATTTTCTTCTTTTCTCTTTTTTTTAATTTTGAGTTGGAGTCTCACTCTCTCACCCAGGCTGTAGTGCAATGGCATGCTCACGGCCACCACGGCCTCAACCTGCTAGGATCAAGTGAGACCTTCTGCCTCATCCTTCTAAGTGTCTGGAACTACAGGCATACACCACCATGGATGGCTAACTTTTTGATTTATTGTAGAGATGAGTTCTTGCCAAGTTGCCTAGGCTGGTTTTGAACCCCTGGGCTCAGGCAATCCTTTTGCCTTGGCCTCCCATAGGGCTGAGATATAGGCTTGAGCCACTGTGCCCAGTGCAGCTGTTCATTTTCTTTTCTTT